TATTTAGCTCAGGTCTGACCTTTAAGCATCCTCAGCCCTCTGGAAAACAGCGCACCCACATTGACACAATACAAAACAAGGCTTCTTTAGGACTCTTACAGCATATTGCTTTCAGTGTTTAACTATACATACAAAAGAGTCTGCTGACTGGTTTGTCAGGGTGTGTGTGGAGGGGTATTAATAGAAGGATTCAAGTGTTACAAAACATTTCATGAGAATACATCATGAGCAGTTTATTAGAGTAGCACGGGAGCAGCACTATGGTGGTATTAGAGGAAAACCACAAGCACAATGGGACTATACTACTGACTTTTTTCTCTCGTTGCAATATCGACCTTTAAATCCTTCATTTGATAACAGCCATTTGAATTGAAATCACTTTCTGATCATGTTTGGCAAAAGTAGGTAATCATACAATTCTGGATAAATAATTATTAAATGTTAATAATCCTCTTATTTCGTTATCATAAACAATAGTACACTGCTTCATTAAATACAGAAATAAATAAATAATAACACAATCTACTATCATGTATACCCGCACTGATACCCCATCTATTCTTCTCAGCCTGTTAGCAGCACACCAGACAGGGTCATTAAGATAAAGATATCATCACAGCTGCCTGCATATCTCTCATGGTGGCTGTGGTGTTTCTACATTTAATGTAAACCTATAAAATAATTCCTGGGAATGATAAAGAAGTAACACAGGCAAAATGTCTCTCGGTGAGCTTTGAAATCTTAAAATAAATCGTTCCAACAATGATGAACCAATTTCAGAATAAAGTCCAAAATATATTCGGGCTGTAAAGTTCAATTCCACTGTAACATCAAAGTTTTAGGTGAGATCATCTTTAAGGACAGTTTCTGCACTTTAGGTGTCGCACAAAGCATCTTTATGGCAGCATTACAAAATGTTATTTTCAGGACATTCCAGAGAAATCTGCATGACAAAGCATCGGAGATAATAAAATGACACGAATGAGGACGTCGTTTAGTCTATCGTATGTGTCCTGACGCTTGCACAGAAGAGGGCAGAGTTTGGAAAAATTCTACTAAGCTGAAATTTCTAAAGGCAGCGGCAGGTATTACTTTGTTACTGAGAGAATATAAAAAGAGGTCAAAAGCAGGTTACAAGGGGGAGTCAAAGCAACATTATGCATTTAAGCAAGAAGTTTCATTTTTAGCAACTTTTCTGTTTTTTGTGGTTCGGGTTAGGTAAGTTACAAATGTAATAATTACACAGTACCTGAAATCTCTATTAGAACAAGTCCAGTCAGTTTAGTATGTCTTCATCATTTATACTTTAAACGGCTTGAGTACGGTACATGTATACGGTAAGGGGCACTGTAAGCCAGTACGCAGGTCAAATTTACAGTGGTTGCACTTCCAGTGTTCTTACAAGAAATCAAAGCGCTCGTTTCTCCCGGCGAATCTTTAATTTCCAGTTCAATTCCTTTAGGGAAGTTCCAGTGTTGCCTTATTCAGTAGTGAAAGTAAGCAGCATGGGGACACCTGGTGGTGGGAGATGAACACTGCCTCATGTAATCCAACACAAAGACCTGAACTGTATGTGCTTCGTAAAAGCCATAAAGAGATTCCGCTGATCTTTAGATTTGAGCAGGATATACATAAGTCTATTGAAATGGCACATCCTCTACATCCTTATTTATCACTGTACATGTACATGTCTATGTCTAAAGGTGCTATGATGGGTAAGAGAAGTCTCTGGAGATGATGTGGTAGGTTACAGAGATAAACTTTTCACAGGCGCACTCTGGATATGAATAAATAAAACCAATTTACAGCTATAAACAGCAAAACAGAATCCATAAATTCTGGCTAAAAACACAGGATGGGTGTAAAATGAGGCAAATGAAGGGCACCATTCTGTTATCCAACTGATCCTTTTGGTTTCGTTTGGTTGGTGAAAAGGTCACTCAACAACAACTGGCAGCTGGGTGTGGAGCTCCACCTTTCAGAACTACTGAACTACTGAGCGGGCGTCCCTCGGGTTTCGTTTGTGGGGCCTGCTGACGTTCTGTTCTGCGAGATGCTACTTGATGTGGTGCTACAGTAAAGCGGGAGGTAATCTGGGGGCTCGTTTCACTCCGCCGCACTTTCTTTACGTGCATCTTTCTGCTGCTGCTCCAGCTCTCTCTTCCGCAGCTTTTCGCGCTGTTTCTCCATCTTTTCTTGGTTCCTCTTGGCCTTTTCCATCATAACTTTAAGGTCTTTGATCTTCTTCTTGATCAGTGTTCGATCCTGAGAAGAAGTGACCCCAAGAGCCTGAAACAAATTAGCAAAAATTGTTTTATATTTATCTCATAAGTATAATTATTTCGCTTTATTCTTTTTAATCTTTCATATTTCTTTTGCCAGACCAGTTATGCTCATCTCATAAAAACACTTTATTGTTAGGCCTATACCCTTGGAACTACTTTTAGCAGCAATGAAGTCATAGTTTTCTGAAAACATGTATCAGTCTCTCACATAATTGTGAAGGAATTCATTATCTACTCTTTATGGAGGTTTCATTTATAAACAGCCCTCTTAAGGTCCTGGCATAGCCTTTTAATTACGTTGTTATCTTTGAGGACTTTGACTGGGTCATTGTGATGTGATCTGTATTCGAAATCTAATTAAGATGCATTTAATAACAAAAAGGTTTCTGTTACCTTGAGCTCAGCACTATTCAGCTGAAGCAGCTGCACTCCATCTATATTTTTGGCAGTGAATTCTGGAATATGGTGTTCTAAGTTTAGGCCCATAAGCCAGTGGGCCACTTGCTGTGAAGTCCATTCGGTAATGCTGCGGTTCTGCCACTGGTACTGCTTTGAAAACTGGCCCTCGTCTAGCATCTGAACATACATGACAAGGAAAAGAAGCACATACGATAAAAAAAACCTATCAGCTCCATCTTTAGTGCTTAATTTGGATGAATAATGGGCTCAAACCCAGTCAACAACATCAAAAATTCCACCGATGCCTACATTCAGCACGTAGAAATACTGAAATTCTGGGGGCCATGAAGAGAAAAAAGATCGTTCCTCACCAAAGATGTGTAGCAGTGAGACACAGACAAATGGTTTACACACAGCTCAACAGACACAGCGACACGCATGCATTAAAAGAACCTCAGTCTCACCTCATCATCTATCATATCCAGACTCTGAATGTTGCAGCATAGAAAACAACAGAAAATGATTGGGTAGTTAACAGAACAGAAATGAAAAAGCTACCTCTGTGGTAGCCTGGCAAATTAAAAAAAAAGTGCTTTTCTGCAGTAAAAACAAGATAAGCTTTCGTGCAATAATGTAAAGAAAAAAAGAAAAACTTTCTGGATGTTTTCTATAAGATTACACACTTTATGCATGGGCTGATTTGAACCAGCGAAGATAAATAAGCTTGTATTTATGGTTTGTGTTTCCATATTGAACGTCCACGAAGGAGTTTCGGGAACATTTAGTACCTCATCTGAGGACAGCACCAGCGTGTGTGAGCGTCCTGACATCTTGGCTTCACTGAGCAGACCGCTGATCTCTACTGAGCTGCTGCTGCTGGCACTCAGATCATCGCACAAAGTGGGTGCCTAAGAAATCAACAACACGTTCGTAAGACTTGTGGCGAGCCAACTGGCTCTGCGGCTGGATTTAGCCGATTAGTTGGAACGCTTCTCTGTTATTGATGTTTCTGTGCAGCGTTATGTGAAGCCCAACACGATGTAGATGTTACAAATGTATTTAAGAATGATTTTTTTAACCTGAGAGAGCGGACGGGGAGTGAATGAATCAAGAAAATGGAGGTTTTTTTCTCCCAGAATGTAACTGATGTGCTTCATCGCCCTGTTTTTAAAAAAAATTATGTTTTAGGTGTTTGACAAGCTCCAAGAAGGAGTGTGTGCATATCTGTAATTTTTTAAAGATGCTTGAATAGTATGCAAACTATAAATTTGGCTGGAATTTACGTGGACACAACACTGCCCTGCAGAGAAACTTTATTTGAGCTACTGAACGTTCCTTTTTTCGCCTGAAATACACAGGTTTATAGTTTCGGTGATATATGGCTAAGAGTGTAGAGCTATTTCTTACGCTCAATAACATACAGTAGCTTAACTCAGTCCTTTTAGTCTCAGTACCATCTGAGGTCAAAGTGAGACTAATCTCAGGCTTAGACTGCCAGCTTTCTGGGAGGACTCCTTACCTAAAAGCTCCATAAAAACATAATTAAGAAGAAGTTCTGATAAGATTTATCTTCTCATGTGCACTCTTCTTATACTGAGGGTGGCTGGGGAGTGAGAGAGGACTGAACTGGTGCAGGATCAAAAATAATCTCCTTTTTAATCCTATGGTAACCCCATCTGATATTACACAGGATTAGCCAGTTTTCACGTAAGTTCCTACAACTTTAATCTTATTGTATCAGGATGAGGTTTAACTGATTTTATACACATTAGAAAATGAACTCATTCACACTGTGATCAGATTTTTCTGCTAAAGTTAAATTAACACCTAAAATCAGATCATATGTTTGCTAAATCATTATGTTGTTTTTTTTAACCGAGTTTCATCGACTGTTACACAATTAATTGGGCAATTATAAAGCAAATTATGGATTTCTATGGCTTTCGCAAGGTAATTTCCTTTTATATAAGCCCCAAATTACATCTTGGGGTACAAAATTATTTCCATTTCAATTGTTTGAAGCGTTATTATTAATTATGTGAATAGGAGAAGAAGTGTGGCCATGTGAGTGCAGTCTGTTCAACAGAAACAACACAGTACATTAAAGCTACAAAGTGAACAGTAACCTGCAGTGAAAATGCAGAACTTGTTAAAAACTGCACGGATGCCAAGAAGACTTTTTTAAGTGCATGTATAATTGTGCACCACAGAGGGCAAAGCAGACTATTATTCAGAGAGAATCACTATTTACCAAGGTACCAATGACCAAACCTCACACACCTTGGCCTTGAGGTACTCTGGACTGTTCTCTGCTGATGGCTCTGTGGAGCTGAGAGACAGAAAGA